TTAGCGGTAGTTGCTTCATTGTACTTAATTTTGTAGCGGTCTTTCATGAAAGCATAGTGTATTCAGTTTCAGTAAACTCCACCAGTCTTTCAAATACTCCTTCACAACATTCATTAAGAGAAATTGTGTTGTCTGAAATGTTTTATTCACCAAAGGGGTTAATTGATTGTATTATTCATTGTTACATGAGTGCGGTGCTCAAAGTTCTCTGACACTGTGCCAGCTTTCCGGTACAGGGCCCGTCTGATTCAAGAATAAGTCTGTGCCAGATATTCCTGCATTTTTTTAAATGTTGCGTACATATCTTGTATACAGCCATAAGGAACCCTGTATTTTGCATGACAGAGTAGACCTAATTTATTAATAAAAACCTTTGTTTACACTTTGGCTCAGTGAAGTGTCAGATCAAACTATTGTGAAAAAGCACTGCAGTAAATAGGCTGTTTGATTTTGTTTTCATATTGTCAATCTTTTGGACTAATTGTCTGACAACAGCAGGTCAATTTTGTTTTTACTCTTGTATTTTTAGGGTTTTCCTTAGACCTGATTGTTGCATTCAGTCCAAAACAGTGGAAACATGCCTCTGCTGCTGGGTGCTGGTGTTGCAATGGAACATTCTATTAGCTGTCACTTCCTGTCAATGTACATTCTTTGTCCTGGGTTTTCCCTGGGTTTTTAGTTGGCTTATGCACTATTCCTGTTAGGCTAACTGGAGTCCATGGAGGGAGTTTGTTCAGCATGTGCTTATGATAAAAATGGCAATGACCAACTGACTAATTATACAACTGTTTGGACTTACCTACTCCTTCACTGTGCAGTGAAGCAGAGGGCTCCTTTTTATGACAATTAGTGTTCTTGTAGTAGGAAAACTATGTTGTACTGAATATGAAACCAGCTGCCCACTAACTTTACTTTTTTGTTTTCTAGACCTGAGAAAAGCCTAACGGAATCACTTGAAAGATTTACTCTCCATGAAATGCGGTCTGGAGGTCAACACACCCAAGAAGGAGCTTTTCCTGTGTTCCAACACCAAAGTAACTTCAGTGGTCTCAACTCATGCAAGGACAAAAATGTTAGACATGTACCGGTGGTTCACCCTGCAAATGAAATGCGAATCAATGTGGTAGTCACTCCGTATCCTGGGGACCACAACTTGGCTTATGCTCCACCTCAGAAGCAGCAAGGCTATGCTCAATCACAACACAATTTTGAGGGACTTCACCACCAAAGGAAGTCACAGGAAAGCACTGTACTCCGGCACCCAAATCATGGGGATAGTGCATCTATCCCTCAGCACAGTTGCCATCAAATGAGCAGGAAAGCTAATGAAAACTTTTACTCATCTTCACATGTCGATGCTCAAGACAACACTTATTTTGAGACATCTACTAGTGAGAGTTTAAGAAAGTCTGTTTATAATAGTGGGCAACAAAGAGAATGTTTAATTTTGGACAATAATACTACACTGCAGCAAAGACTGCATTTAAATTCAGTTGATACTAGTTTTACACCACTTCAAGGAGATAGCCTTGGACACCATGAAGATTCTACCACTGAGAGATGTCCACTGCCGCATTCCTTACTGAAAGAAAATTCTCTGGATTCGACTGAACTCTGTCCCACCAAATCTTCAAAGGAAATTAATGCCAACAGTGAAATCAACCCTCATTTTTCAGGTGGAAGACAAGATGAGAGTCAGCAATTGAAAAGTCCACTAGCCACTCTAAACTTTGAGACTAGAACACAAAACCTGGATCATTCAGAAAGAAGTCTTTCCATCCAGGGACAGGTACCTCTTCCCACTCTCAATGAGCCGCTTTTCACAGACAAAGTCTCAACAGTTGAGAAAATAAGACCACCTTCAGATCAAGAAATACTGGACTATATCGCAGAAGCGCTTGCAGATGCTAAAATGAAAAATAAAAAATGTGGATCCACACAATTCAAAACGAGGGGAAATTCACTCCCTGACAGGGACTCCACTCTTCAGTCTGCCTTCAAGACGCAGAAATCCAACAGTTTTTCCACAACCTCTGTCTCTGACAAAGAAGAAAATATAGAGAGAAAAAACCTCAACTCTACTGTGACTGAGCTGTGCACTAGTTCATTTGGTCAAGCAGTTGAAGAGGACATTTCAAAGGGCAGCAGAGCAAGTGCTGTGTTAACTCTCAAGGCTAAAGTGATAGATGATTGTGCTACAGCTCCCTCAGAGAAACCTCCAGCAGGTACACCTGTCTCTTTTGTAGAACATTCAAAACTTACTCCTAAAAATGAATCTGTTGTGAAAAGTGCATCTGAAAACTTATTTTCAGTAAAGGCACACTTGGATGTAACTATGCTTGCAAATGGTGATGGCAGACTTGTTTATTCAAATGACTGTGAGGATAAAACACTTGTTGATAGCAAGAGTCAAGGTTTCAATAGTAAATGGCATGATAGCTACTCTTTGAATAACATGACCGCTCTTTGTTATTCATTAACCGCACTGAAAGAGCTTATTGCTAGTCTGGAGAATATAGAGACATTTACAGAGATGGACAACTTTTCTAAAGTCATGCTGCAACAATATTGGAATGGGGATATCGATAACCTTCATCTCTTTACATCCACAGAATATCCACAAATTATGATGGAAGTTGCTGAAACCTGCACAAAGAAAGAAGATGGGAGTCCAGTGGTTCTCACACCAGTGTCTGGAGTGACCTTGGACAAACTGACTGAGAGGCACCGCGGTTTAATGTTCAATGACGGCTTGTCGACACAATGCAAGTCTCCTTGGTTCAATAACAAGAAGAATGTGCATGACATAGATAAGGTACCTGGTGTTTCTTGGACTCCCAGATGCACAGTGGAGAAGGACAAAGGAGATGCTGACTCAAAAACAGTGGAGGCACTGGGATTGGATGATGTGCAAAATGCAACTGGTATCTCGGTGGCTTTTCAAACCAAGTCAAATTCAGTGTCATCTGAAAGCAAAACATTCATTGAAAAAAATCAAGATCCAAAAGAAAAAGACATGGAAGGTCAACGTCACTCTATTACCTGTGAGGAAGTAACTGCACATTCTAAGCTAAATCCATCTATTGAAAAAAGTTGTCAAGGTGTGAGGAAGGATTCCAGTTTACAAAATGGTTTAAAGGTACTACTTTCTGGAAACAAAGTCAAAGAATCACCCTCTTTAACTGAAACTGAGGGTGAGGAAGTGCATGGTGTGAAAATTTTGAAAGACCTTCAATATGAAGACATTTCAGATTATGAAGATTCGTCACAGCTGTCAACAAAACTCCCAAACATGTTGCATGAGAAATTAAGCTTCCCACCATGTATTGATGATATAAGTGACAATGAAATCCCCCATATAGAGAATATGGCTGAAGAAATCCTCTCACTTAAACAGACACCTGAGCCCAACAACATGCTGTCATTTGAAAGTGAAGGCTATGGGTATGTGCAGGGCCAGGCTCAAATGAAGGCAGAAATCCTTACAGATGAGAAACTGTTTCTAAGGAGGGTTTCTCCAAATATCAGGACAGTGGATTTAGCAGATCCCAGCTCTGGTTCATGTTTTGCTGCACAAGATGATGGGTTTGAACATTCATCGCTTGTTAAAGGTGACAGTGAGAGACTTCTGGAATGGCAAACAGACAACTCGGTTTCATGTAGCTCTTCCTCAGTCTTTAAAGATGAGATTGATGATGATGATTGGATATTCATACCTGTAATCATGTCAAGCCTGAAATTTGAACCAGAAAATGCAACTGGGGGCAACACAGATCAAGTTGTGCTAGAAGATGGCGAGACTGGAGATGAAGAAAGACGAGATGAGAAAAGTTTAACACAATGTGACTTAGACGGGCCAGATCCAAAACCAGTACCAGCTTCTTCAGCCTTGCTGATAGAGGTGTTTGACACACCAGAGCTCTTTCTACAAGCAAAAACCAAAAAAAAGGTTCAAAATTTTGAAGTGGCATCAGTCAGGAGCACACCTGAACATGAAATGGAAGGAGAGCCATCTACACCTCAGAACGGTAGAGAGCTTTTCTTAGAGCCCAGAGATGGGTTTGAATCTGAAGACAGCTGTGAAACTGAAGATAGTTGTGATTACTCATCTGCATCAGAACATAACTATTTAACAGTGCCTAGGCAGTGGTTTAAGCCAGCAGCTTTGTCCTCAGAAACAGAAGATTCTCTTTCTGAAAAAGAGAGGGAACATGAAGCGACAAATGTGCAAATAGGTCAGACCAAGAACGGTGACAAGTTGGGCTGTATGCAAAAACTTAAAAAGCTGATTGAAATGAAAGGTGTCTCAAAGCATGTTCAACCCAAGACTAAGAGAAAAAGGATTTCAAAGGATGACCCAATAGTCATTGATTCTGACACTGAGGATGAACTTGACCAAAATTGCAAAAAGATGAGATTGTCTTCAGCCCCAAAGCACATGCAGGATGAATGCCATGACCTGCCACACAGTGCAGAAGTGAGCAAGGGACTGAATGAAACCAAAGTTGACCCTGAGCATCTTCAGCTTGAGAATAACAGAAAATCTATTTCACAAGAAGACTGTATAATAATCTTGGACTCTGACACAGAGCATGAGAGTGATCAAAAATACAAAAGGGTAAAAACGAAGACTTTGTTCCCTTCAGCGGCAGTGGATGGTAGTGGTTCCAGAAAGAGTGGACAGTTAACTGAACCTAAAGCTGAGACTAAGTGTGTTGAACATGAGACTAAAAAACAGACTTCAAAAAGAGAAACTGTCCATGATTCTGATAAAGTGGTTAAAAAAGACCATATCAATAAAAAGAAGGCAATTGGAGAGAGACACTCATCAGGCTTAGGGAACAGTGGCAGCGCCTTACAAAACAGACATTCAACTGAACAGTTGAGCAGTTTTTGTGGAACTACCAACAGAAAGCCTCAGAAAACTACATCTGAAGACTCACCAGAGATGCTACCCCATTCTGGAGGCAAGGAGGCAGGCCCCCCTTTGGTTTCCAATCCTGTGATTACTCGCCTTATAGTTGATGAACAACATGATTACTTGAAACTTTCCAAGGAATCTAAAGGCCACAGGCAGGTTAAAGATAAATCTCTGACTCAAACTCCCACAACATCCAGCACAAAGATGGACATCTGTGAAAAGAACACGGGGAAACAAGGAAAATTTGTGCCCAAATCAAAACCTGCAAGTGACACGCACTGTGAAACAAAAAATACGGTTCAGGCCAGTGCAGCAAAACCTATACAAGTATCAAGACAACATTCCTTACCCCAAGAGGGCCCATCCTCCTCCATCAGTAGCTTGGCTTCAATGAGTGGGCAACATTCTGAAGCCAGACACAGCTCAGCCTCTTTGAGAACTTCATCTTTGTCTGGAGAAACCTCCTCTAGTCTTTCTAAATCTAATTGTAGCACATCTTTTCCTGGAACACAGTTTTCTTTATCCAAACTGCAGCGTTCTCACAGCAACCCCTCAACATCAGACCATGCTTCTGCTCCTACAAAAGGCCCATCATCCTGTGCTACCATGCAACCATCAGTAGTGAAAAAATTGAGGGCTGACTGGAAGGACAATTATATCCCAACCAGAAGAGACAAAAAAACTAGCCTGGGGATGGAGGAGGCTTTCGTGAATCATAACAGAAAGGAACCAAGGCCTAGACCTAGTCACAGTGAAAGGACACCCAGACAGAGGCAAAACTCCTACGATACTCAAACCGCCTTGATGAAGAAGACCAAGAATGAAGCCAGATTGTGGACGAACCACAAACATCGAGGCGTTATAAGAGAAAAAAGTGTGTTCTATTGAAGTCTTATTGTATTTTATTTTCCTTGACACATTAATGTGGTTGACAAATCAAGATATTTTAATGTATCTAATCACAGTACATGTTCCTAACCTTCATTCTTGTGCTGGTTCCACAGGAGAGGAGCTTGTTAGCTAAGGGCTCGGTCTCCCGTTCTGCTTCTGTAGACTCTAGGAACCACAAGCAAATGTGCACTGAGAGTGAA